CTCTCTCTCTCTCTCTCTCTCTCTCTCTCTCTCTCTCTCTCTCTCTCTCTCTCTCTCTCCTTCTTTTTCGGCGATCGAAATTTTACAAGTCGATATATCTAAGGAGCGATGCAAAACGAGAAAGAAAAAGGAGGAAAGAAGTGAATGATCGTTGTGAGAGGGAAGGAGAAAGAGGAAGGGGAAGAGAGAGAGAAAGATATGTTCCTGCGGGGAACGTACCGTATCGTCGGAACTGCGTCGTATAAGGGGGAAGTGTATCGATTCTCGAGGCCGCATTCCCGCCGCGCAAATCAACGTCGAGTCGACCGAACGGTCACTTTTTAATTCTTGTCGCGCGATTGATCGAATCAGCCGGTGCTACGGTATCAGGATAATTGAGACGCTTTTCGCTTCGTGCGTGACTTTCACAAATACATTTCTGCACATATATATGATAGCAACTAGTACAGTGCTTATATTCAGCAAAAGTAAGCACTTAATGATTATTATTTACGATTGGAGTATGATCCTTGATAGATCCAAAAGATAAATCAATCAGGAGCGATAATCGTTGAATACAGACAATGCTTTTTGTTAGGCGAGTAAAAAGTATATTAGTATAGTTAATGTTTTGTTAATGTATAGTTAATGTTTATTATTGATCCTATTGGAACTATTTTTATTTATTGTTACTATTGTGTTTTTCAATCTTATTAAAGTTGGAGGTATAATATAAAAATTATTATATATGACGTTGCTTGTAAGATCCGTTTCTTTTGAATACTCCTATACTTTTTTTTAATTTAACGAGATTTATGTCCTTTTGAAATGGAGTGTATGACGTGCAACAAGAAGGAATAAGGAGAATGGAGAAAAAACAAAATGCACTTAAAATAAACGCGGTGTTATTAGCAAACTATATAGGCTGCGTTCCGAAATTCACTGTCAGTGCTGAAATTCTATAGTATATGTGACATGAACTATAGAATTTCAGTACTGGCAGTGAATTTCGGAACGCAGCCATAATTTCACAATGGGAGCAAAACGGATGATGCATTGCATTCTAAGTGTAACGGGCGTTACGAACGGCTGACACTAATTGCGGATTCCGGTCATTGCTACCGACCAGTAGAAAGTAGCGGAAAGTTCGATACCGTCAGCCTCACAATGGTTACACTTGGGTATACCGAGAAAGAGAGGTGGTTGCGTCGAGGAAGAAGAAAGGGTTAAAGAGGGGGAGGAAAGTGTCCGCCCCGCGAGAACCGATCGAACGTCGCGAAATCGCACGACCTCGCCACGATAAATTAGCCCTAAACGGCATTCTGTCCGGCAGTCCCTCGTCGCGATTTATTTCATCCGCGGCTACATTCTGCGCCGCAGTTCGCTTCTCAACAGAGAGAATGCCGATTTTTATATCGGAATTTTTTTCATTCATGCTTCACCGCCGCCACGACATTCCGCGTTGGCTCTCTTGTTCTTAGCTACACTGTCTACACCTTTCGTCTTCTCCAATGTTCAAGTGCGAGTGCACTTTGACTTTACTTCAAATACGATAGCAGCATCTGTTTAACAAACAGATTTTGTCGAGACTTTGTCCTCTCTATTCATCTTTCCATTCTTCTTTTTATTCTCGTCGCACTTTATTTGTTCTTAATTCTTTATTTCTTATTGTTCTTCGTATGTCCCCCCCCTCTCTCTCTCCCTCTCTCTCTCCCCCTCTCTCTCCCTCTCTCTCCCTCTCTCTCTCTCTCTCTCTCGTATGCCTCTTATTAAACTTTTCTACTTCTGTTTATTTGATCTGTTTTTGTACGATATGTCCATGTTTACTTAAACTTTTCTCTTCATCTGTGCTTCGAAATCTCTGGTCCTAAATCTTTGGTCCATTTATTCGTCTATTCTTCACCTGTTTCATTTCGACCGGATGAGTTGCAAGTTGTGATGATTGTGTATACGTGTTACGCGACACGTTTATTTTATCATCAACGCTTGACAGTATCTTTTACTAGCGTGAAACTTACGATGGCAGCAGCAGCGAGTAAATATGATTCAGTATATTTTGATGACGAGAGATACGGAACGCACATGTGTACGTATCAACGTGGCGTTATTATCGTCTGCGAGAGGCTTTTTTCCGTAATTAAGATACGAATGTTGCCAATTCCGTCAGAGATTACCAAACTGCTTTCGTCCGTAATTGTGTTAGCATAATCATAATTATGTAGGAAACATGATCAGACTTCGGATCATGAATCGCGGTGGTGATTATCACCCTCCTCTTCTTTCCTTCTCCAGTTACGCAAGTAATTTTCGCTGCAATGAAATTTCCGTGTCACGTAGTTAATTCTCTTACATGGTGTCATTTGCCGAATTTCTCATGAAGCTTGAAATTGATTTTCCCTTGACATTTTCCTTACCACAATCTTAATTAGCTAAAATTAATTTAGTAGCGACAAAAATTAATTTAATAGCGAAAGTAATTATTTATTAGTTAAATTGTCAATGTACGATATTGAATATCGTAGCGAGTAATTCCATCGACCAATCACCAACTCCAAATTAACAAATAACTTCACGTTCTCTCTCTCTCTCTCTCTCTCTCTCTCTCTCTCTCTCTCTCTCTCTC